TTTCGTTCACTAACCTGTATAAGCATATCATGTTCTCTTTTAAGATATTCCTGCAATTTCTGGTAAATATTTTCTGTTATAGTAATTGAGAATATAAGTTTTAGTGCCTTAACTTCAATTGCCCAACACATACATAATTTTGATACTGCCGAATTTTGTCTTATCCCAGATGTTATAAGCCAATTATTCAAAGTCTCTACCTTTATATGACAAGGTTTTAAAAAGCGTCCAAGTATGAATAGTATTATCATCGCAAGCCTTAACACATCAGAGAACATAAAACTCTGAAGATGTCATAATGGATTAGGCATTTGACATCAATATGTAAGCTTTTTGATCTGTTTCCAATACTCTATAAAAGAAATTTCACCATTCGTATTAAACACATTAAACGTCGCTTCCAGTAGAGTACGTGACTTTTCAGCTATAGAGTGATATGCGTCATGTGATGTTTGAAGGTGTCGGTCCCATTTAAGTATTTTAAACGGTCCTGATTTTGCTAAACCATATTCAGCTGCCAATCATTATTTTCTTGTCTTTGAATTTTGTCTAGCGATTTCCAAAAACTGTTCCTCAGTTTGCTGGTGAAAGCGAGCATTTTTTATATAGTTATAATCAATACTAGTATATTGATCATTTAGAACATTACATGTTCGGCATCTGTATTTAGCATTATGTCTTTTCACATCTGCCAAGTCATTGCCTTGTGGCAAGTCAGCAGTAATGCAACTAATACCACCTATAACAAATGCATTACCATTCAAAGTTCTCATAATAAGATTTTTTTCCAAGCTCTTTATATCCTGAAGAACCGGTTCAATAAAATCATCAAAATTTGCTCCAAATGGAACAAATCCTATTAAAAAATGGTTTTTTAACTGTTTTTGAAATGTTAGTGGCATATTTCCGAACTGTAAATACACCCCACTAAAGGAATGATACACGTTTCTATAAGTACCAAAATCATCGAAATAAATGTCTATAAAGATCTTTAAAATTGGAAGGTGTTGTGATAATCGTGTGAATGTAATATATTCACAAGGTAATCGATGCCACATTTTTATATCACAGAATTTCCATCTACCATCGAATTGATATACAATTTCTTTGATATAATATTCATATTCTTCAGGTTCTGGTATATCAC